TCTCTTTCAATGTGGCATAGTGTTTGATAGCAGTGTCTTGATATTTGGAAAGCCGATGGCTTAGAATCATACTTTATTAACAGTTTAACCTAAACTAAGTTACTTATCATCTCTACATCTTGATTTCCTTATCTGTAAATCAGATATTTACCTCAGATATACATATTTCTTTTTTTTCTGGGGGAAGAGGGCAGAGTAAACAAGATAATATATATGATGTGTTTACCACAGTACCAGGCACATAGTGTCCCATTTTGGTGGTAGGGAAACTGAAGTATTAGGGAGACTAATTACCTTTCTCAATTAGTAATGGATTTAGTAGGTGACTCAGCTGGGATTTGAAACCAGGCATATGACTAAACTGAGCCTATAGGAGCAGTAGCAGCCAATAGAATGGAACCTGGTATGTGCTAGGTATTTAATAAATGAAATGACCAGTCCAAAAGCACAAAACTCATTAGTGGTCTGCAGATCACAAGGTCAGACCAGCTTATTCCCAACGTACAATTTTACAAACATCGTTTGTGGTTGAGAAACATGTGCTTTTGAAGACAAGATATGTGTGTGTGTGTGTGTGTGTGTGTGTGTGTGTGTGTGTGTGTGTGTGTTTAACCAAGGGCAGTCTTTTAAAAAGTACAATAAAGTACAATTTTCCATTCAATCCATCTAGTTTACATGGGATACTAGAGACCTTAATCATAGGACAGATTTAAAATGAAATTACATGACAGTGAGTATCCATCTAGTATTTAAGTAAATACTTAAATTGTAGCATTTAAGTATTCTCTTTGTGAGACTCTTTATCAAAAACTTTTCAAACATATCTTTTGGGGGCTTTATACAAACTGTTTAACTAACATTTAAGAAGTACAGGCGGACCTCGGAGATATCGTGGATTTTGTTCCAGACTACCGCAATAAAACGAGTCTCTCAATAAAGTGTGTTACATGAATTTTTTGGTTTCCCAGTGCATATAAAAGTTATGTTTACACTACACCACAGTCCATTACATGTACGATAGTACTATATATTAAAAAAACAATGTACATACCTTAATGTAAAAATACTTTATTTCTAAAAATGGCTAACGCTCATCTGAGCCTTCAGTGAGCCGTAATCTTTTGCTGATGAAGGGTCTTGCAGCCATGCTGAAGGCCTTGTTCTGGATTAGGTTTTGGTGTAAGGGAATGTTGCGGCTGGTTTGATCTTCCTTCCAGACCACTCGAGCTTTCTCTGTATCAGCAATAAGGCTGTTTTGCTTTCTTATCATTTGTGTGTTCACTGGAATAGCACTTATGCTTTCCTTCGAAAACTCTTCCTTTGCATTCACAGCTTGGCTAATTGCTTGGCACAAGGGGCCTAGCTTTTGGCCTGTTCCGGCTTTGAATGTGCCTTTTTCGCTAAGCTTAATCATTCCTAGCTTCTGATTTAAAGTGAGAAACATGCAAGTCTTCCTTTCACTTGAACACTTACAAGCCATTGGAGGGCTATCAGTTGGCCCAATTTTAATATTATTCTGTCTCAGGGAATTGGGAGGTCCCAGCGGAAGGAGAGAGATGGGGGAACAGCCAGTCAGTGAAGTAATAAGAACACACACATTTATGGATTAAGTTTGGTGTGTGGTTCGTGGCATCTCAAAACAATTACAATACCAACATCAAAGATCACTGATCACAGATCACTATAACAGATATAATAATAATTAAAAAGTTTGAAATATTATGAGAATTACCAAAATGAGAAACAAAGTGAGCACATGCTATTTAAAAAATGGCACCAATAGACTTACTCAATGCAGGGTTGCCATGAACCTTCAATTTGTAAGAAACAATATCTGTGAAGCACAATAAAGCAAAGTGCAATATAATGAGGTATTCCTGTATTAAGGTAATTAGCAGGGCATGGGGAAAACATTGTTATGATTTAGAAAAAACAAAGAGAGTGTGTTATTGAGACAAAGTAAATTAATGGCATACTTAATAATTCATTTGGATATTTCATTATAGGTTTGTGAGATTTAAAATTATTTATATATTGGCCTATTTTGCAAAGATTTTTGAGTATCTTTTATGTGTCTAGTTTTAGACTAATTTGGCTATTATAATTTTGAACGCATGATTCATCTCCTCCTGGGGTTTAAAGAAATTTACCCCATCCTTTGGGATGGTAAACAGACTAATCTGTTTGAATCTCACACTTGAATATTATTTTGGAATATTGGACAAGTTAGTTAGCAATAAAAATAATTCACCTAAGTTTCCTTGACTATAAAATAGGAATTATAACAATTCTTTCTTAAGCTTATTGTAAGGATTAAATAAGACAATTTTTAGGAGTTCTTAATATGATGCTTAGGATACACTAAAAGCTCAGTGCACATTATCTATAATTTCAATAAAGAGAAACCAAATCAACTCAGTCAAAAAGAAACATAAACACATAGTTTTAAATAGGCTTAAGTTGTATCTACCATATTTAATTTGATAATTAAAAATTGCAAAAATGTGTGACCTAATAAATAAATTTATTCAACTTTCTTATATTGTTCTGAATTCCTTATCCCAGATTGATTTTGCTTCAAACTTGTAACAATACCTATGCTTACAGCCCTGATTCTACTTTCTGAGAGAAAGAAAAAAATAAATAGACTATTCTCTTTCATTCTTTATCTACAAGAATTTACTTACTGAAAAATCTAGCTTCTTTTAAAACACCTTTAATCCCTTGTTGGGGCCAAGGGAAAACTTCGACATTGCCCTCTGAAGGTTCACTGAAAATCATTGACAAGAGGCAGATTAATAGGAGAAAAGGCATGTAAATTTATTTGATTATAGTTTTATGTGACACAGGAGCCTTCAGAATGAAGACCCGAAGATACAAGAGAAAGGGTCCATTTTTATGCTTAGGTTCAATAAAGAATGGACAGCCATGTCGAAATATGATTGGACAAAAGGGTATCATCTAATTAATAGACTAAGTGGGGAGACCCAGCAAGGCTTGTCTGGTTAGATTGCTCTTGGACTCTCTGCGCAGCATTCCTTCCTTCTGGGTGGGGCAGAACCCTCTCTGCAATGGAGGTCTCATGAGCTACAATCAAACAAGGTCAGATAATTTCTTTATGGCTAGTTTTTACACAGAAAGGCATAGGGGAAAGTTAGAGTGATATTTTTAGGTTTTATGGCTGGCTTTGGAGGAAAGGGGTTCTGGCTTCTATGAACCACCTTTGGGAAGAGGGATTCTAGTTTCTATGGCTAGCGACTGGGGGTGGGAGCGCCCCTAGACAGGAGGGCAAGAGAAAGTCAGAGAGAGTTGCTTCTAAAGCTTTCATTTTGGGGTATCATTTTCTGAGCCCCTACACCCTAACAAAGCACAAGAGATGCAGTGGAGCAATTCAGGGTCATGTTCAGGCGGTACACTGAGACGAAATTGAGATTTTCCAGAAAGCGTAACGGACACTAAAAAGAAAGTAAAATGGATACAGGGACACCAGAGAGAAGCTGACAAATGATTTTTAAGTAAGGAGAAAATGATAAAAGGGAAGGATTAGCAAAAGGAAAAGGTAATATAAAATAGATCCTTCAAAAAGAGTTGTCTTAATCCCCAGCTTCTCTAGAAATCCCACCACCCCAGGGATTTAATAAGCAAGGTTTTTTTCCCCCCTGAAGGCAGGGATGGGGGAGCTGGAGAAAGAAGAATGAAAGCTGTTCCGTGGATGGATGATTTCAGTTTTGCCCCACTACTACCAATTCTGGCAGCCGCCCACTGCTCCCGAGTCATTCCGCCCACTTTCCCTTCCTCTGTCCACGGAGATGCTGGTTCCTGCTTAACAGCCATCTCAGGGCAACTATCCTTCAACATCCATTAGAAATAAAGCGAGCTCTCGCTTAAAATAATCAGGGCATGCACCTGGAGGTGCACAGACACATTCTCTGAAGAAAATGAGAGCTCTGCGCAATGATCTCACAAAGACTTGCCACCTATAAATCCTCCCCATGCAAGCTCTTCATCCTTCCACTTGGACTTTGGGAGACTGGGGTGTGTGTGCAGGCGGACGGAGCCGGAGAAGAGAAGCACATTCATTATCCACGAATTAAAACGACTTGACAGATTTCCAGTGCAAGTTAATCCCAGTAGGTGCATACACGCATATACACATACACGTGTGAGTGTGTATACATTAGGGCATCTACTCCATGGAATATTTACCTGCCAGGGACAGGCAGTGGACAATGACTATCTCTTCGACTTTTTAAGAGAAAGTATCACCAGATAAATCAGACAAGTGTCTTTTGTATACTTTGGGTAAATTTGTGGTGATTTGGGAGTTTTAGCATAGCTTCTGAAAAAAAGCCGCCTGCTCAGAGCTCATGGGGTAGGGGTAGTTTTCCCTCCTGAGGATCTGGGTGCTTTTGTTTTACTTGTTTGTTCATTTTTGCCCCACAATACCACACCCTTTCTTTACCTAACTTCTTTCTACCTGTGCTGGACTTGCCTGTGCTCTTCCCCCTCACCTTCCCCCTCCCTCCTCTCTCCCCCTAAAACCCTGGGGAACCTTGTCAGTGCTTTGAATCCCTAGATTGCTCGAGCAGTGAAACTAGACAGATTAGGAGCTGGGGCACATTTGGCTGAAAGGCAGCTCTTTTGCTTTCTTCTTATGCTGCTTCCCCTTCCTCTTTTCCCAAATAGATATGTAAACACATGTATTTTCCTGTTTAAATTTAGCGAATTGGTCCTCTGCCTGTGCCTTGATTTAGCTATTGGGCTGAGCCTGGCTTCTCCCTTCCCTACTCGGATAGGAGCCACTGGGATCTGGAGCTCCAGCTTCCAAATTGAAGCTGGCCCCAGGCCAGGTGACCTTTTCTTTGTAAGTTTCTTTCCTAAACGGGGGGGTAGAGTAGGGGTGGGTGGGATCTGTTTGGTGGTGTCTGGGGGGAGAGTGAGGAAAGGAGGGGGCTGGAAGAGAGTAAAGGGCTGTTGTTAAACAGTTTCTTACCGTAAGAGGGAGTTCAGACCTAGATCTTTCCAGTTAATCACACAACAAACTTAGCTCATCGCAATAAAAAGCAGCTCAAACCCGACTGGCTCTTTTAGGCACTGACTCGGCACAGGATTCTCTCACCCGGGCATCTCCTGCAGTGGGATCCGCCAGCACGTCCAGCAGCACCATGTGGGTGACCAAACTTCTGCCAGTCCTGCTGCTGCAGCATGTCCTCCTCCATCTCCTTCTGCTTCCCATCGCCATCCCCTATGCAGGTTAGTTTTCCTCTTTTTCATTATTAGTATAATTTAGTCTTTTGCTAACCTTCCCTTTCCCTTTTCACACACTCTTTTTACCCTCTTCCCAGCATCCTTAACTCAGTATGTGGTATGGGTTCCTAAAACCTCTCATTATGCTTTCTTTTGACATTCTTTTTCTGTTTGAAAAGCATTTAAAATGATAATTAACATTCCCTCAGCAGTCCCCAACCTCCCAACACCCAGCCCCACCTCACTTAGTTTAATAGTTGTGGATTATGGGATAAGTAGGAAGTACTAACACTGGCTGGAACTTTGCTGGTTTGGACAAATTTAAAGCTGAAGGGTCTGGTCTGAACAGGGGAGAGTGATGATCAGCCCAGCAGGGACTCATCTTTTTCCAGAGGATAATTTTTCATGATAATCCACTATTCCCAATCATCCAACCAACATTCAGGGCCAAATTATGACTTTATACAGGTTTTCATTTGGAGGAGATAGATTAAACTCTGGGAATATGCATGTTATAAAAATGAAAGAGAAAGCCTCTTTTCTAACTAAGGTCTCATTCTTTCTGGGTATGGATGCCTGCCCTTGTGAAACTGCAGTGCAAGGGATGCAAAAATTGTGTGACTTTGATTAAAGCTGCAGGATTGCTCTTCTCAGTCTCCTACTATCTCCCTTGGATTTGCAGGTTGGGGAGGAGTTGCTTGAAAGTTCGTATTGCCTGGAAGTTTAGAGATCTCATTTGCTGCTTGGGGAAGTTTTCTCTTATCAGGACAAGAGGAAACATCTGTATTTGGTTGTATTATCATAGTAGTGGCTGGGGTGCCAACGGGAGAAGGCAGTACACATTAGGGGTGGGCACAGGGGAATAAAAGACTGGAATAAATGCCCACATTGGTAGACATGGCCTTTTTACAATATAAAACAGAGAACTGGCTACGTTTTTTGAGATAAGTTGAATGTGACATTTATCAGATCTCTGATCTAGTTTCTGATGTAATACAAGGGTAAAAACTTCAAGGACTTGCTAAATGATAAAGGAAATTATTCAACCCACCTGATTTTCTTTTATTTTGCAAAATAGCCCTTTTGGAAAATGATTCTGTTTGGGAAAGGTCACTTTGAAGTCATTTAGGCAAGATTTCTGAAGAGATGAGAAAAAAAAGTTCAAATCAAGCAGGTTATCATGCTTGAGATGTGTCATGTTAAAATGGATTTATAGAAGACATTGGTGGTTTAGGGGATTTTGTGCATAAATTGAAATCATGATTCACATTTTTGAGGGCTTTCATTTTTAAAGATTAAAATGTTGCTGTTCTGAAGTAGAATATGGTTACCTGAAATCATCTATGCTAATGCAAGGGGAACACCGTGTGGAAAACCCAAACAGTAGATCAACCATAGACAATGTCTATTTGTTTTTGGCATGCATTATGAAGTTTTGGCAGGAGATATACATTCGTAATTATATTTCACTTTGGCTAATGTAGAAATGACTGTGTTTCCTGAACATAGAGAGAATACGGCCCGAGAGTGTGCTGGCAGGCAAGGAGAGTCCAGTTGGGAATTACAAATATGCTGTGAATAATTCCTGAAGTGGATAATTCTAAAATTGTCATCAAAAAATGGTCTGCCTTTGTTTGGGTGGCTAGTTTATTTTGATAGTTTTTTTTTTTTTTAATAACCTCCAAAATGGAAAATGTGGGTAGCCCTCTTAGAACATATAGAGAAAGTTTGTTCTTTTTTTTAATGTTATCTAATATTAAAGATTTATAGTTTTTTCTTTTATTCCTCTTTTTCCTTTAGTTACACTTTTTGATTTATTCTATATTTGTACATATTGTACGTATTGTAAATATAAAGTAATACATTGTTAGAATAGAAGTAGATACTGTAATAAGTGGACAACCAGTTATGAACAAAATACATTATGGAGATAATTTATTAAAAAGTTTCTTAAGAAATATTCAATATAGTGGACCTAAGCCATCCTTCTAGGAATTGGTCTACTGAGAATTACCCTCTAGTCACTCCCACCCACACTGGAAATAAATATCCAATCCTCTGTAATAAAAGAAGCATTAAATGAGCACCTAGTGTCCAAGAGTCCATGGGGAATATAAAAATGAACAAATGAGAAAGCCATCTGTATTTGTTGAGCAACTGCTATAGACCAAGTTCTAAAGTAAATCTTATTTAATTCTAATAAGATTGACATTAATGGACTCATTTTACACGAGGAAATTGAGGCTTCAAGACCTTATTTCTTTGTTAGTTAAGAGACAGAGCTCCCTACCTAAGTCTATGTAAATGAAATATGTGGTGCTTTTTGTTTTCTTGTATTTATTCTGAAGCCAGCAGCAGTGGAATCAACTGAAACTTACTTTAAAAAAGTCAGTTGGCTAAATGATATGGAAAAAAAAACCCCTTCTGTTAGAAGTACTGTTATACTATGGTTGAAAGTTCATTTCTGGTGTAGGGGATCAAACCAGGTTTGGGGGTATATGGTACACAAGTTGAATATGAAAAGATGGGAGGTAGCATTGTTGGTACCTAAGCAGGAGAACACAAGTAGCCCAAAGCATAGAGGTTAGAAAGTATAATGGATGCCACAGAAGGTACCTCCCACAGCAACTGAAGGCAACCATTTGGGGTGGGTGTACTGGGTATGTGAGGGGAAGTATGGCCTGTGATTGGAAAAGTAAGATGGGGTAGAATGGATAGGCTTGATGTCATGCTAAAACGTGTATTCTTTATAATGAATATCATGGGCAGCAGCTGAAAGTTTTTGCATTGACAAGATACTTGACTGAAGTTGTACTTCAGCATGGTTGCTTCAGTTGCTGTGTGGAGGGAGAGTTGTAGACAGAAACAGACAGTGAAGGCAGAGACCAGGATGAGGCTTCTCTAACAATGAAACCCCGAACGAGGACTGAAAAGAAAGAGGAGAGAAATATCTAAGTAGACCCCTATAATCACATTGAGCATCACTTCATCTTGTAAATCTCCTTGGAAGAAATTATTTATGCTGCTTCTCAAATTCCAACATTTGATTTAAATCTGACATGATCTCTTTGTTCCTGTCATCTTGTGATATTGTTGTGCTGCCTTCTCTAAAGAAGGGGAGATGATTATTAATTTGCAAAATCTGAGTCCTAGACAATAACAATGAAAATTCGGACTTCTATTTGTGATTTTTTGTCTTTGGAGAGTTGAAAATCTCCAGTCCCGATCATTCCCTTCCATTAATTATTTGTATACTTTCATCTTAACATCTTGCCACTTCAAACTGTTAATCACTAATCATGTGGGTAGGTTTCTCAGAACGTATGGAACCAGACTCCTGTTTCTTTCCACACCCTGCAAATCCTTTCCTTGCATTATTTTCCTTTGAAGTCAATGGTTAGTCCACACAGAGGAGAAAATATATGAGGTACTGAGAGAAATGAGTGTGAGGCCCGGGGACCAGAGGGAGAAATGTGTCTTTCTTCAAGCACCTTGATACATTTGACCCTACTTTCTGTTTGTAGGTTTTCACTAGGATCCTAATGATTTCAGTTTTAAAACTAAGGGACTTCAGGTTCATCAGGAAATATAGCTTCCAGAATGTTTTCCCATACTGAGAGAAGAGGGAAAAGGAGTTGTAATTTAAAGTACAGGAAAGCATGACAAATTTGCAGTGATCTCTCACCCTTTGATGTCATTTCAATATTTTGTTTATAAACTACAACTAACAGTCACGCACAAAAAATAGTAGGGAAAAATCTGATCCAAAGATATTTTGGAGTTTCTTCCCAAATTAAGCTTGGCTTTTAACTGTTTTCAGTAAAACAAGCATCAGTTTTTAATACATATGGAAGAAAAAGTTGAAACTATTTTCAGCAAAGGAATTTTATTTTCAGATGCTGTTTTTGAATGACTTCTGTTTTGAATTTTTCTTTTATTTAATAAGGCATTAATTTTATAAATGCATGGATTACATGATGTACTACTAGCTCCAACTTCATATTTTTCAGTAATTAGTTACCGACCTAGTACAAATGATTGAATTATAAAGGGAAGTTTCTATGTCTTGAGAAGTAAATTGTGAGAAGGGAATTCTGGTGTCTGGTTCCGATTGTTCTCGATTAGCTTTGTAGCCCCAGATAAGCTTTTCACTTCTATTTATTATCTAGTAAAGGGAAATAATAGATTTATTTGTTTTTCAAAATGCTTTTTGATCTTTAGATGAAAGGTAGGGATGGAAAATTTATCAGCAAGCAAGGATAGATTGTTTTTATGAGGTACAGCCACACATTAACACATTTCAATAGGACAACTGAGGACCTGTAGAATTAAACACAACCAACAATTCCACGGAGACCTCTTTTTTCCAGAATAGTCTTCACAGCTTGCCTTAATATTGCATGGTATTGGGGAAAGAAACCAGAACATTCTATTTGATAATTATTAAAATACATTATAAATTTAATGTTTCTCTTAGACTTTTTGAATTTACTTTAATGCTTTTCTCTCACCCTTAGACATGTCTAATAAATACATTATACACCAGGCCATTTTTAATTCTATATTTTTAGTTAACAGAATTCATTTGAGAAATGTATGTATAAAATTCTTCCATTTTGGTAGTTTAACAGATTTTTTTTGTATCAATTAACTACCATTTATTTCTAAGAAGTATTCAGATTTATATAGGAAATCAGATGATTGTTATGCTATGAAACATTTCACAGCACCTAAGAAATAGCATAATAAGGTCAAAGGAAAGAGAAACTCTTAATGGAAAAACTCATCTCCCATTAATATAGTTCTGTGGTAGAAACCAAAATTTGAAAAGAATTATGCCTTTTTTGCTTGGGAGAATAACAAGTTTCTTCTCTTATGCCAGAAAGTAAAGGATAAAATTTCAAGAACAAAACTAAAACTTTGCATATGTATAACATTTTTTATCCAAATTGATTCCCAAATATTTACTTAATGATTATAGTTTAAATAACTTTTTTAGTTTAAAGTAATATAATTTTTATTTTGTAGATTAATTGGGATATTAACATTTCAGGTAGTTAAACAAAGTCATTTGGCAAGTCAATAAGAATACCAGAATTATCATCTGTCTGCCAACATTATATAAGGCATTTGGTCTACACGCGATAAATAACATCTTGATAGATTATTTGGTGGTTTTAATTTCCATGTTAAAACGTCTTTTAAACTACATGTGTTGTACCATAGCCATTCTATCTTATAGGGCAAAGAAAAGTTAAAAATGAAAGCATCATTACAGGAATTAGTATTGACGGAGATTGTGTTTTGAAGTTTTATAAAGGACTAGAAATTTAGAGAACTTCTGGTTTTCTCTTATTTATTGTGAACTTCAGGTTAGGATAGACATTAATGAGTAGCATCTGCATACTTAATAAACCGACTGGAGCCAGTGGTTGCTGGCAAACTTGAAATATGATGCCATTTTGGTAACTTACTCTGCTAGCCATATTTCTTAATTTTCTGCACAACTTTTCACCCTCCCTTTTTGAGACATTTCACCATATACAAAGACCAGGAACGTATTTCCTGCTCTGCCATTCAAGTTTCTTCTATTGATACCTCTAAACCAAATCCTTAGAAAAAGGTTTACAAGCCATATTTCCACATACAATCTTTACATTTCTTAGATAGAGATGGCATGGTAAGTGGTTTAGAGTAGTGGTTTTGAAGCCAGGCAGCTGAGTTTCCAATTGGAGATCTTCTAAATGGTTAATTAATTTTTTCCCTGTATCTTGGTTTCTTAGACTTAAAAAAGAATGTGTCATTACTTCCTTGGTTATAAGCACGTTCAAAAAGAATCGATAGGCAGAAGAGCATGAGCACATCCATCCTTATTGTACAATAGGTGCAATCTATTAGACATCTTGATCTGCATCGTAAAAATGGTAATCATCATTAGATCAGGACTACTTTGGGCAGATTGAGCATAAAGAAACAAGTTCTTGGTACTCTAGAGTTATCCATAAAATTAAGTCTTTTAGTATGTTTTAGTTCAGTTTTTCAGGTTTTCAGTAGGAGGCTCCATGCTATCTAGGAGCCTTGTACTTTCATGAAGAAAAATGATATTCCCACATTAAAGGATGAAGTTTTATATACATTTCATCTACGGCATTTGGCTTGATCTCAAAACAAACAGTTCAGTGATACCAAGAAATAGTGCCCAAAAGCACAGAAAACATTTCTGCAGTACATGAGAAGAGAAGGGCTAAAATCTGAATACTACGAAAGACTTTAAAGATCAAGTCAGAAGAATTTGTCTACTGCACAGTTTTTAATGAGAGGTCTCTCATCTGTCTTTGAATTGGCTTATCTAATTAACACTACAATACTTACTTATACTTACTAATACTTAATACTTACATAAGGACCAATTGTAGAAGGAAATGAAAAATCTAATCATAAAGCCTGACATGATAAGCTTCTGGCACTTTCATGCTGTTTGGAGAATATCATGTTATTTATTTCTTTAGGGTGAACTATGTCCTAATTTTTAAAAGCTTCTTCCTTTAGAAGAATATAAGTGAGTGACTCTACATGACAAGTTATTTGTTTTTCTCTGATTACAATATGACTCTCTTGCTCTTAGCTATTCTCCATCTCACTTCACCCCAACCTTTGGAGGTCTACTATGTTGTCAGATAAAATGATTTTCTGTGGATGATCCTTACAGATACTTTTTCTATATGATCCTTAAAAGCATTTCTCCCATGCTTATTTTTTCTAAATTTTTGTATTTAATAGAGGGACAGAAGAAAAGAAGAAATACACTTCATGAATTCAAAAAATCAGCAAAGACTACTCTAATCAAAGAAGACCCATTTCTGAAGATTAAAACCAAAAAAATGAACACTGCAGACCAGTGTGCTAATAGATGTATTAGGAATAAGGGACTCCCCTTCACCTGCAAGTAAGTTACTTCATTTTGTTCTTAGGATAATTTTCCATATATGGCATGTACACATTATAATCGTGGTGGTCTTCTTGTATTGAATGTGATTTGGCCATAAAATTCTAAGCCTGAGTCTAGCTTTAACTCATTACAACAGAAGACTTAGCTCTCAATTTATGGAAATATGGCTTGAGTAAGGGAGAGTACAAAAACTGCTACCTTCTATTAATAAGATCCACAGTGGCTTTGTTTATGGAATTCGTTTTCTCATATCATGAACAACTGATCTTGAGAAACTAAAATTAAATTAAATTGACTTTGATCTCTCTTAAAATATTCTATTCAGAGTAAATATTATTATTTTTCTTGAAAGAGGAATTTTCAGAATAGAAATTGGGCAACAGCCAAAATTTACTCCAACTTATATCATCATCTTTAGGGATTTAAATAAAAGGTGTTGAGAGAATTAGATAAAAAGCTAGAGGGATTGGTGTCAGCAGCAGAGGCTGTTTAAAAGAACTGAGAGAATAGTGATGATGAGGGTTCAGGTGAAAATTAATAGGGCAATTTGAAGAGGCATGAGGGGACTCAAACAGAGCATTTTATATCTTTTGACATTCTCTGTGTGATCTCACAGGGAAGAATTCCTTACTATTTGCCAGTGATCCCAGACGATAAAGCTTTTAGTTTTGGGCTAGGAAGGTGAACAGTTCCATCTGAGTAGTCTCCCAAACTGCCAAAAGAAGATGCATTTCCTAGTTCTTTTTTATAAACATTCTTTCCCCTCACTTATTTCCTACTCTTTCACTCCTGATTTTATGTTTTTTTTTTTTTTACAGGATTGTGCATAAAATTCTGTAAATTTTGAATTCTACTCAATTGCATTTGGATAGTGACACACAATGGGAACACGGGGTGTAGCAATGTCGTGGCAAGAGGTCCTAATTTAATCTTGACTTTTTCAGAAAAATGAATGTTATGGGCCTGAGGGAAAAGGACACACCAGAGAAGGTCTTCATCAGACTTAGGAGGAGGAGAGACTCTCTCCTTTCTATTTGTATAGCCAAACTGCCACTTTCAGGGAAATATCCTGGTAAGGGCGTGGGAATTGACTTTGCAAGTATATTGCTATGATAATTCCATTTTATTCCCTGACTTCCCTATAAAAGCCTTGAGATTGTTAAAAATAAATTAAAGAATACTACTCTTAATCAACATCTCAGGTTTGAAGGCTTATGGAGATGTTCTTCTGGCAATTGAGAAGGCTGGAGTTGGGAGGACAAGCCAAAGGGAAGGACAGGATGATGTATTATTGTTGATTTTTAATCTGAAAATATACTGTTCTGGACCCACAAGTAAGAAAAGTATTGCTACCCCTCAGTTTTCACATTAGTCAGTGTTATGCCTGGAAAAGAAAAACTTTCCTTTTGTTTTATTTAGTATAAACTGAAACTATTTTGCTGGGTTCGAGAAGGTATGTGACCTAATTACTAAATACTCATGTATTCCATGTGTATGAGGTTTCATACTTTCTTACCTTATTCTGGTTGAGTTATATGTAGTCTCCAAATGTATGGTAACCTGTACAGAAAACCACATGTAATATTACCTATGTACAGCCAAGGTTCTTCTGCCCAGAAATGAGGAAATCATCTCTCTCTTTCTCTCTCTCTCTCTGTATATACATATATGTGTGTATGTATGTATTTAGGATCATTAAATTATACGGAATTGAATGGATATACTATGATACCCTGAAATTAAGTTCTTAATGAATTAAAGGATCCTGTTAGCAGACTTGTTATATGGACAAGAATCATTGAAAAACAATGAAAAATACACTAAACCACTTAGAAAATACCAACAAAGTTGTGTGAAAGCATCTGTGAATTGAGTGGGTGGAACACTCTCAAATACTGTTTCCTCTTGAGAAGGTATCAACAATATTGATTTTATAGGGATTCAAAATCTTCTTTGCTGGGTAGGAAAGATGACCAGAATGCCTGAGTCAGCTCTTCAGAAAATTGCTAATTCATCAATTGACTTAAAAGAAAATAGGAAGCTTTCCTCTTTCAGCCATGACTAACTGATACTAGAATTGCCTTCTTGCCATAAACAACTGGGAAATAGACAAAACAAAATGTTGAAAGGAATATGATAATTAACATAATGCTTTTGTAAAGACTTTTAAAGTAAAACCTAAAGGAAGATGCAACTCATGGAATTTGATGGCTTCCACCCATTCCACATGGGGGTGCAAAATAATATAAAAAAACACTTTTCTTAGAGAAAAGATCACTGTGATGCAATAAAAGACTGAACAAGATTAGCAAACTGGAAAACCTGTTATGCCCTTTGCGGAAGAAATCACTTGAAAAATGTATCACCTTATTTGGTATTTATCACTTATCATAGACATTATTAGTGAACAACAACAAACCAATATAAAACCTAGCTATAGGAATAGTAATAGTACAGGTGACACACTTTAGTAATTCTCTTTGCAATATTTTATCAAAAGGATATTCTCTAATATTAATAATATTTTTAAAATTAAAAATGCTTATACAAGTAGATTTATTTAGGAAATATTGGCTTAAATAAAGAGTTATCCTCAGCAAGATTTTCATAGCCTTTAATAAGGATCAATGTTTTATAACTCATCAAAAAGGTATATTATATGCAAATATTTTCAAATATTTGATTTCAGATCCCTCTTCCTAGGAGAATCTCCTGGAGTGGGGATTTATCTAACATACCTTAGAAAATGTCGTTTTAGAATGCACTTGATATAATTACAAGCTTTCAAAATTACTCATGATATCTCAAATATAATCGTTTATATACAACTGCAAATAAAATCTTCCAACTTGCTGTACAGTTACAAAAAAATAAAGTCTTCAGAAATAATCCAAGTAGTTGTGTTACATATTGATTTTGCATGTTGAAGAATTTATAAGTCTTCTTATAAAGACTTTCTATAAGTCATTTAGCATAACATGAGAACATTCCAAATGGTATTTAATCTAATATTTAAATCTATACCTACAAAAACTTAATTTTGTTCTTTCTTATTTGGCCATCAAAGTAGTAGCTTCAAATACTACTCATATTTTTATTATATATATGTAATTATGCCTTTGCTTTTATGTTGCTCTCCTTGGTTAACCATATGCCCATTCTTTAAATACTGTATAAATAGTAGTATTCCTTCTTTTCATTCAGATATTTTTTTCAGGGCTTTTGTTTTTGATAAAACAAGAAAACGATGCCTCTGGTTCCCTTTCAATAGCATGTCAAGTGGAGTGAAAAAAGAGTTTGGCCATGAATTTGACCTCTATGAAAACAAAGGTAACTGACTTCTCCCTAAATATTGAATAATGAAATAAAGTATAATAAAATATATGTTTGTAATTTCCTGCCATGGTGCTCTTTCCTGCTGATTTTTCTA